GATGTGCATGAAATGAGCACATACGTGGTCATTTCGAGCACGCCCCGTTGTCAGATTGTCAACGCTTCGTTGTCAGATCGTCAACGCTTCGTTGTCAGATTGTCAACGCTCCGTTGTCGGATTGTCAACGCCCGTTGTCAGATTGAAATCAATGGTGGTCATTTTTTGATATCCGTTCCTTTTCCATTTTATACCCTTAGTAGAAGAAACGACATTTTTTGAAAAGTATTTTATTGAACGAAACCAATTACATAAATTATATTAATTATATCATCTCTTTGCTCGTCACTTAATTTCTTATTAACGCTACTACATTCAAGCGCTAGTTTCCCCTTCGAGGTATGTGTTAACAATTCCGTTAGATCCTATATTAAATAAAAAAACTACATTAACTATGCTTACACAAATATTACTCTTACCTTACCTCTGACAAAATTCCTTTGGCTTTTGAGCAGTTCGAACCTGTAGTGTCGGGAGTACCAGGAGTACTTGCAGGTGTCTCGTTGCGTTTCCACCATTCACCTATTTTAGATGGAACTGACATAGTTTCGTCATCAATCCCGAGCTATTGTTATGACAATATTAATACTGATTAATTAATGCTATAGCATTTGTATCTTTTAAATTCGGACTTGTATTGCCCATTTGGTGCAAAATTAATTCTAAATCAGATAAAGATATTTATGGGAGCTAAATCCAAATCTGAACCGATCTCGATAAGATTTGGCAAAGATATTTCTGAGCTGAACCGATCTCGATAAAATTTAGCAAAGGTATTTCTGAGCTGTATTTGATATATTTCCCTGAATATCGTTGTTACGGAGTGCATATTACGGCTGTGGGTAACAAATACAACAAATCGGATGAACAATATATATGGGAGCTATAGCTATATCTGAACCGATCTTCAAATTTTGCATACTACCTTCTAGACTCAATTCGGTCGTATGTGCCAAATTCCATCCCATTTGGGCAAATATTAGACATTTGGTGCACAATAAAAGGTAAATCGGACGAAGTTATATATGGGAGCTATATCCAAATCTGAACCGATCTCGATAAAATTTAGCAAAGGTATTTCTGAGCTGCATTTGATATATTTCCCCAAATATTGTTGTAACAGAGTGCATATTACGGCTGCGGAGGACAAAAATGACAAATCGGATGAACAATATATATGGGAGCTATAGCTATATCTGAACCGATTTCCATCAAATTTGGCATGCTTATTTCTAGGCCTAATTTGGTTGCATGTGCAAAATTCCATACTATTCGGGCTGATATTACACGTTTGGTGCACAATAAATTTTTACCGATTATCTCCAATTTCAATAGGGTTCGTCCTTGGGCCAAACAAATGTTGTTTGCAAAATTTCATCTCAATCGGATAATAAATGCGACCTGCATTTTGTTCACAAAAATACATGGACAGACGGACGGACGGACGGACAGACGGACTGACATGTATAAATCAACTCAGAAAGTGATTCTATGCAGATCATCAAAAGGAACTATGGGTCTATCTCGTTTCCTTTTGCCTGTTACAAACAAATGCACAAAGACATAATACCCTGACCACCTTGTGGTGTAGGGTATAATTAAATAAAAGTACATTCTATTGACAAACTTTGTAAGGATCTTTAAACAGTTGCTGTAAAAAATCAGCGAACAAGTTGAAGATTTTTTGAATTTGTTATTCTTCTTTTGTCAATTTTTTTTTCAATTTGTATTATCATATTGTGGATTTTCAGTGGATTTTTGTGAACAAAATAAAGAATAATTTTTCACTATATACAATTTTTTTTTGAAATAAGTGCGAAATAGGATGTTAACTGACATCTACCTTTCAACTCCAGGGCCTACATCGTGGTTCAGCTGGAAGATGCGCACACATTTAAGCAAACAAAAATGACCGAAAAAGACTAATGGGGCTCATTTCAAAGCGTGGACATACTTCTTTCATGTGACAATAATCCGTCCAATGAGAGCTCAAAATGTAAATTTTTTTGGGAGTACAATCAGTAAAATACTAAATATAAAGGGTGCAAAATAGTATAATTTTTCTATCTTTCCAAAAATTCTTCCCGAACATTCAAGATACCTGAAATCGCTTTTGCAGATCATGATTTAAGCTATTTTTGAGGTCTTCGCCACTTTCTTCTATTTTTGGCCCTTATTTGTCATCTTTGTTTCTAAGGGGGTAGAGAACCTCTTCGCATAAAATTTTCGGAGTAGGGCCCATATTGGTTTTGACCACATTCATCAATTGATTTGGCTAAAAAATTGTATTTATGCTACCCTGGGGTAAGGAACCATCATACAGATAATTGCCACATAGAAGTTTATTTAAGTAAAGTCCCCACATTGGAGTATCCCCAAGTCCACTTTCACATCTAATGTGTGGTCAGAAAAGAAAATTTTGTATTCTATTGAATTTGTAACCCCCAAGAGAATATTGGTTGGGAACGTAGATTTGGGATGTACATTTATATGAAAATATGAACAAATTACAAATATAAGAAAGTAGCATGGGACCGAATATTTGTTGAATCGTCATTGAATTATACTACGATGAAAAATATGGACTTTATGGGGTCTCCAACTTACAATTTAAATGGCAAATAAAATTAATTCCCATCTTACGGTAATGGGTGTAAAATAGCTATATTTTTGATATGGCTTCTATTTGTCATATTGGATTATAAGGGGTAGAATAACGTTTTCAATGTAGGTCGATGTTTCGGAGAAGTGCCCATATAAAAGTAACCTCCTGATTTTACCAAATTTCAAAGGATTTGACAAAAAATGTGTATTTGGGGGGTGAAAATCTTACACAAAAATTTCAACATATCTACAAATTTTAGAATTTTCTCCATGTAATAGTACCCCCACAAGTCCATCTTTTGGCGGATAAACAGACGGACATGGTTAGGGGGACTTATGAGGACTCTAATGCACAATCTAAGGCGTTAATGGGTTACAAAAAGCAATTAACTTTGGCTATTTTTAAATCATTATGAGGTGTACAAAATACAGTAAATTCCAAATTACTGCTCATTTGACTGGAAAATTTTGCTACGATTTTTACCATACTAAAAATTAATTTGATCCCTTACATGGGGATAAGGTTGATATATACTTTTTAATATGTTTGTATAGCACATCCACACATTTGAAGCCCACGGTATATATATTTGTATTTGATATATTGTATTTGATATATTTCCCCAAATATTGTTACACAGTGCATATTACAGCTGCGGAGGACAAAAATAACAAATAGGATAAACAATATATATAGGAGTTATAGCTATATCTGAACCAATTTCGATCAAATCTGGCATACTTTTTTTAGGCCTTATTTGGTCGTATCTGCAAAATTTCACACTATTTTGGCTGATATTACACGTTTGGTGCACAAAAAATTCAAATCGGACGAAGATATATATGGGAGCTTTATCTAAATTTTCCAATTTCAATAGGGTTCGTCCTTGGCCAAACAAATGATTTGTGGGAAGTGTGACATGTACTTTGTTTAAAAAAATACATGGGCAGACGAACGGACATGCATAAATCGACTCAGAATGTGATTCTATGCAGATCGTTTGTATGTTTGTTTGTAATTTATGGACTCGAAAACCGCTGAACAGATTTTCCTGAAAATTTCCAAGTATACTAGAACCTGAAAGTAACATAGGCTATAAAATTTTTTGAAATTCCACTTGGAACTGGAGAATTGGAGGTACCTCCCAAAAATTTACATTCTATATGCACACTAGCTTGCCCGGTCCGCGTTGCCGGCCCTTAATTTTAGTCTTTAATGCTATTATATCATCCACCTTGGAAAGGAGGGTATATTAACTTTTCATTCCATTTGTAACATCACTAAATGTTCGTCATAGACCCCATTAAATATGCATATATATTCATAATCAGCATAAAACTCTAAGTCGATTTGTCCGTCTGTATGTCTGTTTGTTTAAATTACGATACAGCCCACATTATTTGACGTATAGCGTCAAAATTTAGCCGAAAATTTTGTATTGTGTATAGGATGGTTGGTATTGAAAATGATCTATCGGTTCACGTTTTGGTATAGTCCCCATATAACGGCATCTCTCGAAATTCGGTATTTTGATGATTTTTGCCACATTTCTCCACGGATTTGTCTAACACATATAACGACACCTACCTATATTAGGTATGTTGATAATCCACACATTTACGCGTTTAATTGTTTCAAATTTGGTATTTTAGAAGGTTTGAAGTATAAAATTGTCCACAGAGGTTCCCGTTTTGGTATGGCCCCATATAACGGCCTCATTCACTTTATGGTTTTTTGATAAGTTAACTGCATTATTCAAACAGTCTTACTGGTATATGAAGTTTAAAGTGAAACACGCTTGAATTTAGATACTTTTATATAAAAATATTTCCTTTACCCTCAGATGGATGAAAGTAATAATTCTGTCCGACCGAACTTAATTTTTTTTACTTGTTTTTAAAGTATCATTGAAAATGCGCGTTGGAGACCCCATAATTTCCATATCTTTTATCATAGTATTGTTATAGATTTTTTTTTCTGTCCTGCTTTTTAACGAAAACCAAAATTGGTTATCCACCTATTTCAACTACTTTAAGTATCTATAAAATACTTTTTCCAGGGGATTACAATATTTTCCAATACTATATTTTAAAAATTGAATCTTAAAGATTATTTAACGGGATAAACAGGCAGTTCTAGCAGTTGTCTTCAAACTATGACATATATCATATGTTACGCATATTGTTTATAAACAATTATAATCAGCATCAGTTGTCATTCATTGTCACAAACTATTTCCGTTTGCACTCTACTAAAATTATTTCTTTTCTAAGTTGACCTCGTGGGATTCAGATCAAAATTTTGGAGATCAATCCTTAGAACTTGGCTCCATAAAAAAAAAAAAAAAAAAAAAAAAAAAAAAAAATAATTAGAGCCATTAGACTAGCTTCTAAATTCAGTTAAAAACAAATAGTTTACTCAAAAAGGAATATTTTGTCAAAACAAGAAAAGGATCATCATCGCTTTCCTCCGCGTCCTCTTCACTGAAATAGCAAGAGGCCTCATCAACAACTCCCGACAAAATATCTTCTTCTAACATGGCAACATCAAGGCCACCATCAAAGGGGGAACTTTTCTCACTGAAACGTAAGAAATAACCATAGGAACCATAAATGGAACTACCACCGTCTTGCGAGTGTACCGAAACCAATTCATCACAATTATTGTTGCTGGTAGGGGAATTGTTAACCGACAATGTATTCGTGGTGACCATTAAGGCTGGTGGGGTTTTATGACGTCTCAAGGAATGGCGTATTGAACGGAATTCCGGCAGCTGTAGTATGTTGGCAAAGGAATCCACCACTGTCCACGACTCGTTGTCCAAAAACAGACAAATCTCCTCCAAACAACAGACATGATAACGTTGAAAAAACTCCTCACTTTGCAGCTGCATTGTTTCAATTAATTTCTCTGAATTTTCACCACAAAATTCCTGACCGACTTTCTTCAGCCTTTGTATAATGCTGAGAACTTGAATGAACTGATCATACTTAAGGGTACGCAATTTGGAACTTTGTAAAAATATACAAATTTTTGTTAGAATATCATTCCATATACGTGATTGTCCTTTTTTGAGTTTTTCCTGAATATAATTATCAGGCGATTCGGGCATATCCAACGGATAGAGTTTATAGTTTTGATGCCATATAACAATTTGATAATATGATGATAAAATGGTCCAGACGGTTTTGCACAGACTTATCAAACACGAAATGTATTTGTCCGCCTCAACCTGCTCGCACAGTTGTTCGTAGAGTAACTTGAAATTATCATCAATATTTGGATCATTATAGCCGCGCAGAACGGAGTTTACCGAGGAATGTATGGCCGATATGAAATTTATGTGGAGCTGATCCATGGCAATCAGGGACTTATTTAACAGCTTGTATGCCTCCTGAAGTTTTGAATATTTACGCATATCAAAGTTAAGTATCATCTCATTCAAAACTGTATCCAATTGAAATTCGGTCAGTAGCAGAGTCTCTTGTAGTTTTTTATTCAACGATTGAACGCAATTATATTGCATAAATTCATCGGCGGAATCTTTACAGCTAAGTAACAATGATATTGCTCCGGAATAGTTGCAGTCTGACAAAAGTTTTTGAACTTCAACATCGGTAGATTTCAACTTCTTGATGGCCTGTAGTGTATTGAGCAACTCTTTAAGTATCTCGCGTTTACGATAGGAAGCCAATATTTCCAGACTAGTTGTGGTTAAATTTTGTTTGGCATAATTTAAGTACGAACGGGCCTTGCGACATGTCCACAGAGATTCCTCCAATTCCTTTTGGATTTCATTGATGGCGGTAAATTCAACATTGCAGGCACTTCGCTGTTCCAATATGTTTTGCAATACTTGTTTGGATAATACTTTGTGTTGGGTACGCAATTGCATCATGGTTGTTTCAATTAGGCCATAATCAACGCCATTTGCCAAGACTTTCTGCAATTCATACATGTCTGCATTACTGTCTGGCTGGAAGTAAATGTCTGTTATGCTCTCCAATATTTCTTGATCGGATTTCTGGGAACTACTGGCTTCTGATGAATCGCATTCATCAGCAATTCCACCACCACCACCATCTTCGCCACTGGCCTTTTTCCTCGAAGAAGTTGCATCGGATTTGTTTTCAGTAACATTTTGTATGAAGTAATCTGAAAAGCCCATGGCTGGTATCATTTGTCGATTTGCCTGTTTGTGCAATAGGTCCATAAATTTTCCCTTAATCCCATCCATTTCCACAAATATAGAGAAAAAAAAAAATATACTGCTCTTTTAAAGAATTATTTGGTGATCGTATAGGCATGATGATTCTTATACTATGTTGTCGTGTTCCGTCTGCTTTAAACCAAAGAACCTCGCCATTCCGACAAGAGCTAGTCGATGAAAACCTAGCATGCCACTCAGGTCTAGAAGCAGATGGCTGACCAGAAATCGGCACGTAACATAGATGGCGCCCAACGGTAGACTTTTAACATAATTGTTAATCATTAAATAACATTTTTGAACAATTTCCATTCAAATACCTTAAGCTATACTCTTTCAACTCCATGTAAACGCGATACTTTTGCTTGAGTTATGAAAATATATGAGCCCAGGAAGCAACTACGAACGAAACAGAGTTCTCTTTAGTGGTCATATTATTCATAATACAACGTAAAAGAATTTTCCCAGTCAATCTTTGGATTTCGAAGTCCGATACTATTACTTTAAAGGTGATCTTTGTGTTGCGAAATTTATGTTGGCAATTTAAATATACACTCGTATAATGTACACATGGAATTCAAAGAGAAGTAAAACAAAAATATTGGTCATATAATCTCGTTTTAAACAGTTATTTAAGCAAATATAAGGTTCTACTAGTAGAAGGCAGGTTTGAAATTTAAAACACTTGAAGCGTCTACTTCCACTGCTAGTACGAACCCTGAATTATCTTTATTTTGGCATTTAGGTAGGGATTATAAACATTATTCCTCGATAAAATTTTAACTTGTAATATGTGGTAAGAAAAATTTTATCGAGGAATAATGTTTATAATCCCTACCTAAATGCCAAAATAAAGATAATTCAGGGTTCGTACTAGCAGTGGAAGTAGACGCTTCAAGTGTTTTAAATTTCAAACCTGCCTTCTACTAGTAGAACCTTATATTTGCTTAAATAACTGTTTAAAACGAGATTATATGACCAATATTTTTGTTTTACTTCTCTTTGAATTCCATGTGTACATTATACGAGTGTATATTTAAATTGCCAACATAAATTTCGCAACACAAAGATCACCTTTAAAGTAATAGTATCGGACTTCGAAATCCAAAGATTGACTGGGAAAATTCTTTTACGTTGTATTATGAATAATATGACCACTAAAGAGAACTCTGTTTCGTTCGTAGTTGCTTCCTGGGCTCATATATTTTCATAACTCAAGCAAAAGTATCGCGTTTACATGGAGTTGAAAGAGTATAGCTTAAGGTATTTGAATGGAAATTGTTCAAAAATGTTATTTAATGATTAACAATTATGTTAAAAGTCTACCGTTGGGCGCCATCTATGTTACGTGCCGATTTCTGGTCAGCCATCTGCTTCTAGACCTGAGTGGCATGCTAGGTTTTCATCGACTAGCTCTTGTCGGAATGGCGAGGTTCTTTGGTTTAAAGCAGACGGAACACGACAACATAGTATAAGAATCATCATGCCTATACGATCACCAAATAATTCTTTAAAAGAGCAGTATATTTTTTTATGGAGCCAAGTTCTAAGGATTGATCTCCAAAATTTTGATCTGAATCCCACGAGGTCAACTTAGAAAAGAAATAATTTTAGTAGAGTGCAAACGGAAATAGTTTGTGACAATGAATGACAACTGATGCTGATTATAATACCGCCCCTGTAGCCTCTCAGCATGTCCCAGAATTAGATGCACTCCTGACATCTATACATCAAACTATTCTTGATTCCCAAGCGGAATTTCGATCAGAAATCAATGCGATAAAAGAGACCATTTCAAATTTGTCAATCAGTAACACGAGGAGCACTCCTCCTTTAGAATCGGCAACCACCTCGACTTCTCAACAATTATTAACTACCTTTAGAAAACCACCAGAACTTAAAGACTGGAAGGTAAATTTTGATGGTACAGGAAGCGTTTCGGATTTCTTATTCAAGCTTGATACCCTTTCTAAGCGCAATCAGTGCAGTAATGACTTCTTATTAAGTAACTTCCAAGTATTTTTGAGTGGTAAAGCTGAAACTTGGTATTGGCTTTTTATTAAACAAAACAGGGAGTACACCTACCCCTATCTTTGTTATGCCATAACAAAAGAATTTGGCAATTTGGAGTCAGATCATGAAGTCATGATGCGTATATCTCTTAGGAAACAACATCCAAAAGAATCATATGATGAATTTCATACTTGCTTGGTAGCCATGAATATTCGCATGCAAGATCCAATATCCGAGAGATCCTTAATAAAAATCATTAAAAACAATGTAAATTCAAACCTCAAACTCATGCTATTTAGTGCTGAACCGAAAAATCTTGAGGACCTTAGGGATATAGCCAGAAAAGCTGAAAAACTGATTAAGGAAAATAAAGTTCAGACAAATATACAAAACACAGGCAAACATGTGCATGAAGTCCATGCAAACATAAATGAAGAAGATCCTTCAGACATACTCAATGATCCACAAATTGAAGCATTTAATTTAAATCGTTCTTCTCCAAAGTCAGACTATTCCAAAATCAAATGCTGGAACTGTTTGAACTTTGGCCACTCATACATATACTGCCCAGATGAGAAACGAAATAAATTTTGTTACAAATGTGGCCAACACGGTGTTCTCACCACTAATTGCCCAAATTCGCATACGGGAAACATGAAAAGGAACGAGATGGCTGTCGGGGACTCTCGTTACCAAAAGTAAACCCCGAGCCTCACGAGGATATAATCTGTTATCTTCCACAGGAAGATACAGATATCATGCACAATAAAATAAAACTTTTATCAACATCTAATGTTCAATGTATTAAAAACAAGATTTTAAAGTGTAGGAAACGCTTTAACACTAGGAAGAAATATAGGAAAATTATTGAATCCACTAAGCTTATTGAAAATGGTGATGATAGACCTTTTGTCAAGGTTCAAATTTTAGATAATGAATTCACAGCCTTATTGGATTCTGGAGCTAGTGTTTCAGTAATGGGAAGAAATTGTAATGAATTTTTAAATAGAAATAATATTGAGTTGCGGTGTTTTAAATCCTATGTATCTACTGCAGATGGATCTAAAAGAGAAGTTATTGGGCATTGCTTATTACCAATTAGATATAAAAATGTTACCAAGGAACTTAATTTCTATATGGTTCCATCCCTGTCGCAAGAAGTTTACCTTGGCGTTGATTTCTGGAGATTATTCGCTCTTGCCCCAGAAGTAATCCCTCAAATAGCGTCTATTGATGAATCTGATTCAGAAGAAGGTGATTTGCTGTTTCATGAATTAAGTCCAGAACAAAAATTGCAACTTGATGCTGTCATTTTAAAGTTTCCTTCATATGAAAAATGTGGTTTAGGGTGTACCGACTTACTTGAGCATCACATTGACACGGGCGAGTCAGTACCCATTAAATCAAAACATTACCCTTTATCTCCCCCTAGACAGAAGGAAGTGTACGAAGAAATAGAAAGACTTCTTCAACTAGGCGTTATCGAAGAATCGAACTCGCCATGGTGTAGTCCAGTGGTAACAGTTCGTAAGCCCGGTAAAGTGAGGCTCTGTCTTGACTCTCGAAGGGTAAATGCCTTGACGAAAAAGGACTCATATCCTTTACCCCACATCAATGGGCTGCTAAGTAGATTGAAAGATACCTTTTTTATTAGTGGTATCGATTTGAAAGATGCTTTTTTTCAAATTAAGCTTTCAGAATCATCGAAGGAAAAGACAGCATTCGCTGTTCCAGGAAAACCTTTATATCAATACCGAGTCATGCCTTTCGGCCTCTGCAATGGTCCACAAACCATGAGCAGACTTATGGACAAGGTAATACCTTCTAGAATGAGAGAAAATGTTTTTATTTACTTAGATGATCTGCTAGTTTGCAGCCCAACTTTCGATGAGCATATCAAATTGCTCGGGGATGTTGCTAACCGCCTTCGAGACGCCAAATTAACAATAAATGTTAGCAAAAGCAAGTTTTGCCAGAAGGAAATAAAATATTTGGGCTACCGCATAGGTAATGGTTGCCTAAAGGTAGACCCTGACAAGGTTAAGGCAATCAAAGATTTCCCTATTCCAAAATCTCCTAGACAAGTTAGAAGATTTGTTGGTATGGCCAACTGGTATAGAGGTTTTATAAACAATTTTTCAGACTTATCGGGTCCTCTCACTGACTGCTTAAAAAAGAATGGCAAGCCATTCCAATTGAACGGTGAAGCCAAAGCAGCATTTGAAAAGCTGAAAGAAGCACTCAGCAAAGCACCCGTGTTGGCACAACCCAATTTCAATAAGGAATTTATCGTCCAATGCGATGCCTCACGGGTTGGTGTGGGTGGTGTTTTATTTCAATACACAGATGACGGGAAGGAAAAGCCTATTGCGTTTGTATCGCAAAAGCTTAACAAAGCACAGCGCAATTACACTGTCACTGAGTTGGAGTGTCTTGCAGCAATTGTCTGTGTACAAAGATTCAGACCATATATAGAAGGCTTGCCATTTCGTATTATAACAGACCACTCTAGCCTACAATGGCTTATGACCCAAAAAGATTTAAGTGGTCGCCTTGCACGATGGAGCCTCAAGCTCCAACGATACGACTTTAATATGGAGCATCGTAAAGGGTCACTTAATGTTGTCCCAGATACCTTGTCACGTATTGATGTGGATGAGCTCGACTTGACAACAGCCTTTCCAGAAATCGACATTAACAGCGAAGAATTCATCTCCCCAGAGTACAACGCTTTAAAATCTTTAATTTCTAAGAACAAATCGACTCTTCCAGATTTGGATATTTCAGGAAATCAAGTTTATAAGCGCGTTAAATTCAGAGAAGGTCACGTAGATGAGGAAGATAGTCTATGGCGTATTTGGCTACCCAAAGGTTTAACGCAAAAAGCAATAGAAAATGCTCACAATGCTACTTGTCACGGTGGATATTTCAAAACTCTGGCGAGAGTAAGGCAACTTTACTTTTGGCCTAAAATGGCAAAAGATATTAGGATGTTTGTCCAAGAATGCGATGATTGTAAAACTATGAAACCTGAAAAT